ACTACTGCAGAGGTATGACAATTAACGATAATTGCCCTCTCGTGTGTTGATCGCTTGATTACCGGCATGCGGGCCCTGACATATTGAACTTTCGTCACGTGTGGTGGAATTGGACGTGTTGATTGCTCGGCCATCTGGCTCCCTGGCGCAGGCAGTAGACGACGCGGTGGCCCGTCCGTTCCCCAAGTGGCGACTTGCTTTGGCCAAATTGAGCCTCAGCAACGAATATAGATTGGGCAAGTCGCTAGAGTTGTTTATGCACAAGGGACCCGCGATTTAAGTAATTCTCGACTCACACGATTGTCACCTCTTGCTATAATTTCGGCCTAATCAAACTAACTCGAGAATTAACCCTTAATTTACACTAACGCTAACTATAAACGCGACTTTTATTAACCTGCAATTTGTGGCGACAACACCTGTATTGCGTGCGGTTCATGAGCTCATTCGGAGGCCATATACGTAATTCTTACCAAACATTGACATCTTCATTTGTTTCAGGATTACAAAACGACTAAGTCATATACATTGCCCTCATCTTAAAGTAAACAAGGCAGTTTACAGGCATGTTCGCATGTTGGCTGAGTTGAGAGAAGAGTCAACTGGGACAACATTCTTATTCGCCTGACGTTTTGACGTCCGTCGCGGATTCTTCATCAGAGCCATTAGCAGAAAAAAGTAACAGAAACGGGTGAGACATGCACAGAAAAGTTGCAGTATTTATAGTACACATTTATTGTCCTATTGCTTCTGCTGGCAGAGGAGTCAATGGATGACTATAATGGAATCTCCACCTCAAATTTGGCTCAGTCTATACTAACCTTAGCGTGCCTTCGGTCCTATCAGTCATCTTAACGTATAGGCATATAACTCACGCATAAGCTACTGTTTAATGGACAGAACTGAATGGGGTATCTTGGAACAAACTCGGCCAAAAGCGGCTTACTCGATGACTTTGCCCTCTTATTCAGCAAACCTAGATTCACCCAATAGTTTAAGCAGGCCTTCTAGCCTTCACAAGGCAGGACCCTACTCCTGACTTCGTTTGTGCTCCGATGGACGTACCAGAGGAAGCGCCCCGAAGCACCAATAAACAGCAAATGCTAACCCCCCATTAGGCAATATGCGAATTTTAACTCTAGTGTACTCACGATGAGGAAGTCACAGCTGAGGCCAGCAATAACATACATAGGAGATCAGATGCTAAAGATGACTTTTATGGCCACCCGAACAGAACGCGGAAATAGGAACCACTCAAAATGCATATGGCTGTGCGTCAGATTCTGGGGAAATTAGATTCAGAAATAAGGTTAGTTTTAGGGTTAAGTTTGGGGTGAGGTTTAAGGTCACAGTTCGGGGGTTAGGGTCAGAAGTATCTTAAGAGTTACGGTTTAGGTTCGCGTGAACTATAGGGCTTAGGTCTAAGGTAAACCTAGGGTAACGATTAAGGCTACAGTGTAGCTAGGATTAGTGTTAGAATAAAGAAACATGACAAAGTGGGTTTGACGCTCCTGCGCTCATGTTCTGTCACCCCTATCCACACGATCAGCGGACTTTGCCACCAGTCGGGT